ATATGAATTTGACCCGTTAAATGCTTTTCCAATTCTCTTTCTTCTCCCACGAGAAAATAGTAACCCATCTGAAGCTTCAAGGGCTTCTCAACCGAACGATCTACCATCAATTCACCTAGTCATGAAGTCTGTGGTACTCTTCTCGATTTGAATTGCCTATTCAAGTAAACCTACCAATGATTTTTTATTTCTGTTTGGTTTTCGAAGAACATTTGGCTGAAATTATGCTGCTAAGAACTTCTAAATGTGGTCAACTTTGGAAGCTCGTAATTTATATGTTAAATTTAAATTGAAACATAATTACAAGTAATAATGTCGGCTTTTCCTCAATTTTTTTGTAGTAGGCGAATACCATTACATGAAAATCCATGAGAGAGGTAGGCATGCGAGAGAGGGGGTGATATATGTCTGGAGGTGTCCGTAAATATAATCAAGTGTTGAGCTCATAAAAACACTACAAAAACAGGTCATCGTTGCTTATAAAAATGTGACAGACCTTTGTCTCATCGGTATTGGGATAGAAATCAAGGTAACTATGTCTACTGTTTACTTGCACCAAAATAGAGAACTATCATGTATTACTAAGTTGGCAGCCTTGAAAACTCTGGAGACGCTATAAGTTACCACCAAAGTAAAAAGTTGCAGCAACAACAAAAAAAGGCTGTTATTCGGATAAAAACGCATAAAAAGACTACCAACAATTACTTCATCAACCCAACTTTATTTAGTGTATTAAAGCCAACTAAAGCCTGCATTTGCATCCCTCCAACCAGCGTTTAAAATTGCGCAATGCAATACCGCAATAAGGCGCGCAACAGTAAATTCAGAGAGAAATGTGGATTATTGCATTGCTAAAGGCGGAGGTCTGTAATCTTCGCGTTGTTGCGCAGAGACGTACGCAATGCGTACTGCGCCTCAAGGCGAGCGCCTTAACAGTTGAAGCAATATGTGGGCCGATATGGCCCACTTTTTATTTTTTTAGTGCGACAGCCTACCTTGTCCTGCGTGTACGCTATTTATTCCCTTCGCTGCTGCTTAACTATGAGTCAGTCGTGGTTGCCAAAAGTGTTCCTCTCCATCAATTATTTGTTGACAGTGTTCCTCAGGCTTCTTAATACTTCAATGCTTCATCACACATGTTTCTTCTATAATTTGACTTCAATTTTTTTGTTAGCAATACTACGTATATTATTCATGGTTGTCAATCGTTATTTGATAATTTCAGTTAATTGATAATTGATATTATTCTTTAATCACAGGTGCTTTTTTAATCTTAACTTCAGTCAATAAATCCTGTAATTGTTTTGATAATTGATATAGAAAGTTAACTCTACATTTATCTAAATTTTAGTAATATTAAGTATATGGTTGTCCATCGTTTTGATAACCTCAGTTCATTGATATTATTCATTAATCACAAGTGCTTTTTTTAGTTCTTTAATCTCAATTTCAGTTAATAGATACTATCTTATTATTCTTTAATCACAGGTGCTTCTTTAATCTTAATTTCAGATTTTCAGTTAATAAATTCTTTAACTGTTTTGATAATTGATATATAAAGTTAATTATATTTTACATATTATCTTACTTTTAATATTAATATAAATTTGGGTATTATCTTCATTTTTTGTTAATGTGAAACTTGTTAATACTTCGTATTATTTGAATTATCTGTTAATATTAAAAGACACACACACATATGCATTTTACGCCTTAGGTCTACGCCTCATTGCGCAATGAGGCTTACGCAATAGGAAATAATAATAAAACGACACGACTACGCAATACGCAATTTAAAACCTTGCCTCCAACACCGAATTACACCTCACTATTAAAAATACCAAGGTTCGAAATTGCGTATTGCGTAGTCGTGACGTTTTTTTGTTATTGCATATTGTGTAAGCCTCATTGCGCAATGAGGCGTAGGCTTAAGGTGTAAAATTTATGTGTGTGTAATATATATAATGTTAAGTTTCCAGAATATTAACCCTTACGGAATATTAACAAGTTTCATATTAACCGAAAATTAAACAATATTAACATTAATATTAATATTAATATTAATATTAAGATAATATGTAGTATTAACTTCCTATATCAAAACGATGGGAAATAATTCATTAGAAAAAATTTAGATTAAAACGATCACAATTAAATACTTAGTATGAAAATCATATATTACTAACTAAAACAATGGAGTTAATTGAGAGGCCTAAAAGTCTAAAAGCCTAAAACATTTACCACCTATTGCAACGATGAAAAAGCAGTAACACAGGTCTCCTGCTTGAGAGCCCTATGATGCGCAGATGAAGTAGCAGCAAGCCAGAAAGACGCAGGTTGATCTTCTGGAAGAAGAAGGGTTAAGCAGAAGCGGAGACTTGGATTTGTGAGTTGGCAACAAGCGACAAGCCTTAAAAAATACGTAGTACTATTAACGAACTAAAAAATTAAAAAATTGGGCCCAGCCCACAAATAATCTTATTTCTATTGCGGACGCCTCAACATGCCTTATTGCGCATTGCTAATTGTGTACGCCTCTGCGCCATATAGCGTACGATTCTTGACATCCGCCTTTAGCCATGCAATTATGCGCAATTCTCCTGAATTTGGGTGAGGCGCGCCTCATTGCGTAATTGCATTGCGCAATTTAGAACAATGAAAAATACAAAACCACTTTTTTCTTTCTGTTAACACCAAAGTACACCATATTATGAGAAGTAGGAACTACCTAATTTTTTGGGTATTACTAAATCTTTTTTCAATGTACTATATATTACTTGAAAGGTCAAAATCCTCCATATGTAACTTGAGGGGTGAGGATGTGTTAATATAGTCATTTAGTGTCCTAAAACTTATAGCATGTATAGAAATTCTAAAAGAGATTATTCTACTGCCCGAAATTATCATAAAATGAGAATATTGTTTTATGTTAATGCAACTGACTAAAGACTAGGATAAAGCCATTTTTTAATTTTTACCTTGCTTTATTTGTATTCCCCCTTTGTTCTCTGCCCGAGAAGACTAGATGCATCTGTGGGCATCTTACAAAGCACAAGGTACTGTTCACTCATTATTAACTACGAGTATATACTAGTGCAAATTTATAAAAACTTTCTTTTATGTAGTTTTTACATATTGAAGTTGTTTTTTCATAGTATGAAAAACATAAAGTAGTACTCACGAATCACATATGTATGTTAAGTGAAAAAACATACATTAGCGCTCATGAACAACGAAGAAGAAAAATCGTAAAAGATGGGGGATCGAGGATAGGGCAAACGATTTACCTGTTCGGTGTTGATTCAAGATTGAATCAAATCTAAATATTTGATTCATGAGCGCTAATGTATGTTTTCTCACTTAACATACATATGTGATTCGTGAGTACTACTTTATGTTTTTCATACTATGAAAAAACAACTTCAATATGTAAAAACTACATAAAAGAAAGTTTTTATAAATTTGCACTAATATATACTCGTAGTTAATAATGAGTGAACAGTAGTACAGTACCTTGTGCTTTGTAAGATGCCCACAGATGCATCTAGTCTTCTCGGGCAGAGAACAAAGGGGGAATCTTCTATTATACAAAAGCAGGAGGAAAATGTCAACAGTAACCATGAACAGTAATCTGTGAATAGTGTTCCCGTTCAAAAACATCACGCTCAAGGGTCGGGTTGAGTCTGTAGTGGGTCGAGTCGGGTTTCTAAGTTTTTCCAGGTTTTAGGCCCAAAAATAGTACTGCATTTAATGTAATATCCAATATCAAGAAAGCAAGGTGTGAGACTCGATAAAAAGTACAATTGATTTAATGCAAAATTAATGATGAATGCATGCTGCTGCAGGGGCATGTAATACACACCTATTATCCGGATATCACACATTTATTGTCCTTTGTATAATCATAGTTACTACCTTTGAGCTGTTCTAATTAAAGTTGGTTGCCTATAACAAGGCAAATCTACTTTATTCAGATTCTCAATTACAAATTTATTGGGCACTGGGAGATGTCTATTCAAATTAAAAGAAATTGCATGCTATTGCCCATTGGATAATTTATCATACATATTGAGAGTAGTTCAAATTTGTATAGTATATATATACGGCCAACATAATCAGTTAGGCATCCAGAACAACACATTATAACATTGACATTGAAAGTGAGAGTTGCATGGGTCTTTGAGGTTTGACTGCATTTCAGGAGAGGGGATACATTACAATTATTTGGTATGATGAAAAGATATGTGGAGTGCTTAAAACTTTTTCTGAAAATTATGTGAATAAGATTTCATGTAATTTTAGGAGTTCATCTTTGGTTAACAATCACAGATATTGGCAGGAGGGTGAGACCTTAGAAGTAGTATCCAATGATGACAAGGTAAATCATATGATTTAAACTCTTATAAAAAATTAAGCTAATAGAAATTCATTTTTGTTTAATAGTGTTTATCTCAGGTTTCCTATTCTTTCTAACAGTCTGATAATTCTGGGAAAGTGTGTTTCTCAAACATCCAGAAACAATGCCAACAACAAAAGGTAACCTGAAAGGTAAAATTAAGTCTGTTTTGGTATATAGTTGTATATATTAGGGTTTCAAAACAAATATTTTGAGTGTAGCAGATCAACAACCATACTTGAATGTCCAATCATTAATAATAAACACATTAAGGTACATAGGACATGTTGTTTTAAAGTCAGATAAGGCATGTTTTGAAAAATAGATTTATTTTTTACCAAAAAGAAGGAAAAACAGATTCAGTTAACATTAGATTGCTTATTACAAGAAATTGAAAGACTTAGTTTAAACATTGAACAGTGGACAATTTATTTTGTAAACAATATGCCTTTGATTGTAGTTAAAAGCAAAAAGTGTGACTTAAAAATTTAGGGGATGAAGATCATACCCGAGAATTTGAGCATGCAATAGAATATAACTGCAATCCCTAATCTTAACTAATTAATAATTGCATTTCATTTATGAATAATACACATTTGGGTACCTTACTCAGGTCCAAATATAATCAATCCTTCTGGATTAGACCTGCAACATAAGAGATGATATCATGGTAAAATGCATCTCATAATTATATTTTGTGTCTAAAGACCCTTTCGTATTTTAAAATAAAGTACGTTGGAATATGCATTATGCGCTACACTTTTAAATTGCTTTTACAGAATTTTACAGAAACATATAAAATCACCCTTTTAAAAAGATACAAAGTTATAAATTTTAAAAAGATCATACAACACTGCTCTAATCACTAGGGGTCTATGGTATTTTATATTTTATGTATAAAACATAATAAACTTATTATAGCATTTGATCCGTCATAAGTTCAAAAAAAACATTTGATCCATCATAAAAATGTTAATATTTATGCACTTACAAAATATGTTCAAATGAATTTAAAATGAACATAGAAGCAAGGTTGTCAAAGTCGTAAGGCGCACCTGAAGCGCTAGGAGTGTTCTAGCGCCTGAGGCGCAAAGCGCAAAAAAGCGCTCGCCTGACTCGGGTGAAGCGCATTACTTATATAAAGTCACATATTCTATAATTACTTATATAAAGTCACATATTCTATAATTACCAAATATGATGTATGTAACATCATATTGAACCAAATGCATAAAAAAGCTAGGATTCACCAAAATAAAGTCATGATTCACAAAAATAGAAGTCCAAATTTAGAATTCATGGCTTTAATACTAAAACTAAAACTAAAAGATCAAAGCTGGAATTAGTTAATACACGGGAAACCATAAATAAACATATATTAAAAAAACATACTCCCTCCGTCCCCCTATAATTGTCCCATTTTTTCATTTTTGGATGTCGCCCTATTATTGTGCCATACCATATTTGGTAACATTTGTGTGTCTCTATTTCATTCTCACTTTATTCCCACTTTATCAACTCATTATCAACCAAATAATTCTACTTTTCTTAAAAAACCACACCACTCCCTTCCGTACCAATATTAGGGGGGCGGAGGGAGTATATCTTTAGTACATATAAAGTTAAGATATATATCTTTACTACATATATAATGGAATCAGTTTGTTAATTGATACATAAAGTTACTATATGCAATCAGTTTGATATATAAAGTTAAGAACATACATCTTTAGTACATACGATTTTAATATATTTAAAGTTAAGAACATGTATCTTTAGTACATTAGGAACATATAACTTTAATATATTTAAAGTTAAGAACATATATCTTTAGTACATAACTACATATATTAAAGTAATATATTTCAAGTTAAAAACATATAAGAACATATATCTTTAGTATGTATATTAGTATTATATACAATGTAGAGTACTATATATGTATATTACAAAGCAGAGTACTATGAGAGTATGAGTATTATATACATAGTAATATAATAAAAAATAAAAAAGCAGAATACTATGAGTATTATTTGCATACTAATATACTAAAAAATCACAAAGCAGAGTACTATGAGACTGAGTATTATATGCATACTAATATACTAAAAAATCACAAAGCAGAGTACTATGATACTAATATGCAGCTTGAGTGTCAAGTGAGGAAAGTGAGGAGAGTGAAGAGGATGGCTAGCGATTAAGCTTTGTAGTGTGTTGCGCAAGTTTATGTTTTTACGTACTTACAGTCTTAGTTTTACGTAGGTTTAAGTTTCTTTACCCTATTGTTTTCATGGGCTGAGGACTATTAAAGATATGGGCTAATTGTTTTTCAAAGTTTTAAACCAAAAAAGGGTCGTCGGCCTTTTCCGTCTCGAGCGACGCAGGCGCGCGCCTATAGCGCTTCCGCGCTTCATGCGCTTAGGCTGCGCCTTGCCCAGGGTTGTGCGCTAACCTTTCTCAGGCGCTAGGGGTGTAGCTCGCTGCGCCTTGTGTGCTTAAGCGCAGAAGCGAGCGCTTTTGACAACACTGCATAGAAGTAAAATTAGATGGTATAAATATCGAAGATAAAATCCTTAAAAAGTGATTTGTTTTGTTAATTCTTAAGAAGTTATAAAAATGTTGTAAAAAAGTGATTTGTTTTGTTGATTCCTATAAATTCCATTTTCTAAAGAATTGCATTTGAACAAAACTGAATCTTTCAAACAATTTTCAGAATTTAGGCTTCCTAAATATGATTTCAAATATTGAAGCACTTCAATTTAACATGAAGAAATTACAGTCTTAAGAAAACATGATTAATCAGTTTTAAAAAAAGAGGTATTGAAGTCATAGTTAAATTGTTTTCATAGAAAGTGTCCATGTATTCAAGCCATTTAAATAAAATACACATTATATTATACGATAGTATAGTATGTAGGTACTACCGAACTGAACTTTAACATACGAGGGTAAATGAACATTGATATTCAGAGCAGTTCAAATTTGTAGTATATATACATACAACTTAATCAGTTAGGCATCCAGAGCAACATTGCTTCGGAATTAAAAGTGGGAGTTGTACGTGTCTTTGAAGTTCAACCACATTTTAGGAGAGGGGATACACTAGAAGCTATTTTCAATGATTAAGAGGTACTATTATAATATATGCTTAAAACTCTTCGAAAATTATGCAAATAGAACTTCATGTTGTTTTAATAAGGTTCATCTATACTTAGCAATAACCAAAGGTTTCAAGAGCAGACTCACAAGTTTTCAATAAAGTACAAGGTTTCACACATTTCTTGAATAAAAGCTTTGGTATTATGCTTTAAGTAGTTTAGGCAGTTCAATTTACAAGCTATTGCTCTAATCTAGAAAGTTAAATGTTGTTTTCAACTTATATTATTTTAAGTAAAAACTTTTGGTATATAAACTTTTGGTTGTCAAACTTTTGGAAATTTAAATGTCAATTGGTCATTTAAATATCAATTTACAAACTTTTGGACAGTTCAATTTAATGCTTTTTTCTTAAATAAACTGTTATAGTGACCTTTTAAAAATATATATTTACTAACAAAAACTATGGATGAAGTATGTTTTAAGTTAATCCGCTTGAAAAATGTGTAATAGTTATATATTTCACGCATCACAGACCAATTTAACCAATTAAAAAAATCTGCATAGATGTATCCAAAATACAATGTTATGTTTTATCTAGGATTTAAATCCAGAATTTCACAAATGTTGGCATTTAAAAACACAAATATGTATACATCATTTTCACAAATTGGCGTAGGTTTAGCCATGTAAATGAATCTATGAAAGAGGTATTATGCTGCTATAAAATACAGATACAATATAAATCTGTTAAACATGCAATTTATGGCCAAATCATATGCAACTATACATGTGAATAATCACAATAACGAGTGTATGGATGGACAAACTGGTAAAGAAATTCAATTACCTAACCGTTCAATAAAATCACAATAAGACGAAGAGAATGCAGGGGATAAACCAAAATCACGAAACAATGGTAGACGTGGTTTGAGATTCTTTGGTTTTACCTCAGCCGGAATAGCGCGTGTTGCGAGGTGCTCGATGTACGGATGAATGAGGCGGCCGAAGGAGGGAGTAGAGTTTAGATAGGGCGTGTTGGGTTTAAGTTGCTGAACTGGGTTAGATTTAAGATACAGTATTGGGCTGGGCTGATTTCAAGTATTAAAATATTGGTATTTTAATTTCAGATTTGAATAGAACTTTGTTAAATATATTTAATATTTAATTAGGATTATAATTATATTGTTTGATTATAATTTTTTTTAATGTGATTGTTATTGATATCTTTCTATGATTGTTATTATATTATCAGGTTTTTCTATTTCTACTAAATTTTTTGGTCCGAACTGACTTGGTGTAGTAAATGTATAGTCTTTGTGTATTCTATAACTATTGAAGTCTGGGCTGAACTGATCTGGTATGGATTGAGACTGAAATAAGTTCAAGTAAAAACAGTATAATATTTCTGATTATTAATATTATGGTTGTTGTTATTTTTGTTATAATTATAATATTATTATGATTATTATTTTGGTTGAATATTATTAGGATATTATTTATTCATATTTTTACTATAATACTATGTATCATTTAGAGAAAAATTTCTGATTATGATTAAAAGAAAGATTAATTGATAAATGAAATTTAAGATGGAGATGATGAACAAATCGAGCATACTACCAATGTTGTTTACAGGAAAGCGTTTCAAAATGTGTGTGTTGTGGAAACATTCTTATTATTATATTTATTTATTCCTTTTTATTCCAAAACATACTTCGTACCAATTATGAGACGTAATTATCTTTTCATTCATTTTTTTACATGTATTACATCTATGCTCTTCGGGCATTCATCTACGTACTAACTAATAATGTTAACAAATCATAAGGAAGTTTTTCGCAATGTGTAGGTTATCGCACTACAGATATTGATTTGCGGTGAAGATACCGAGACATGCTCTTTGATAACATTTCGTTTTTCCTACTCATTCCAAAACAAAGTTACTACTTATCTCTGAGTTATCACTATCCGATCTTTGCTTATAATTTATTATGCATGTTACATCTATGACAATTTGCATTCATTTCACATGACCAAGTAATATTTACAAAAAAAAATCATATCGCAATTACATTTTAGTATCCCGTGCATCGCGCGGGTGCGAATCTAGTACAAATAAAGCAAGGTAAAATTAAAAAATGGCATTATCCTAGTCTTTAGTTAGTTGCATTAACATAAAACAATATTCTCATTTTATGATAATTTCGGGCAGTAGAATAATCTCTTTTATGATTTCTATACATCTTATAAGTTTTAGGGCACTAAATGACTATATTAACTCATCCTCACCCTCAAGTTACACATGGAGGATTTTGACCTTTCAAATAATATATAGTACATTGAAAAAAGATTTAGTAATACCCAAAATTAGGTAGTTCCTACTTCTCATAATATGGTGTACTTTGGTGTTAATAGAAAGAAAAAAGTGGTTTTGTATTTTTCATTGTTCTAAATTGTGCAATGCAATTACGCAATGAGACGCGCCTCACCCAAATTCAAGAGAATTGTGCATAATTGCATGGCTAAAGGCGGATGTCAAGAATCGTACGCTATATGGCGCAGAGGCGTACACAATTAGCAATGCGCAATAAGGCATGCTGAGGAGTCCGCAATAGAAATAAGATTATTAGTGGGTTGGGCCCAATTTTTTAATTTTTTAGTTAGTTAATAGCACTGTTCTAAAAATCGGCCTAGTCGGACCGATTAATCGGCCTAGGCGGCCTAGGCGGCCCTAACTGAGGAACACTAATCGGCCTAGTTGGCCAAAAAATCGGCCTAGTCGGCCAAAAAATCGGCCTAGTCGGCCGCCTAGGCGCTAGGCGCCCCTCAACCGCCCGACTAGCGCCTAGCGAGTTTTAGAACAATGGTTAATAGTACTACGTGTTTTTTAAGGCTTGTCGCTTGTCGCCAACTCATAAATCCAAGTCTCCGCTTCTGCTTAACCCTTCTTCTTCCAGAAGATCAATCTGCGTCTTTCCGGCTTGCTGCTACTTCATCTGCGCATCATAGGGCTCTCAAGCAGGAGACCTGTGTTACTGCTTTTTCATCGTTGCAATAGGTGGTAAATGTTTTAGGCTTTTAGACTTTTAGGCCTCTCAATGAACTCCATTGTTTTAGTTAGTAATATATGATTTTCATACTAAGTATTTAATTGTGATCGTTTTAATCTAAAATTTTTCTAATGAATTATTTCCCATCCTTTTGATACAGGAAGTTAATACTACATATTATCTTAATATTAATATTAATGTTAATATTGTTTAATTTTCGGTTAATATGAAACTTGTTAATATTCCGTAAGGGTTAATATTCTGGAAACTTAACATTATATATATTACACACACACATAAATTTTACGCCTTAAGCCTACGCCTCATTGCGCAATGAGGCTTACACAATATGCAATAACAAAAAACGCCACGACTACGCAATACGCAATTTCGAGCCTTGATATTTTTAATAGTGAGGTGTAATTCGGTGTTGGAGGCAAGGTTTTAAATTGCGTATTGCGTAGTCGTGTCGTTTTATTATTATTTCCTATTGCGTAAGCCTCATTGCGCAATGAGGCGTAGACCTAAGGCGTAAAATGCATATGTGTGTGTGTCTTTTAATATTAACAGATAATTCAAATAATACGAAGTATTAACAAGTTTCACATTAACAAAGAATGAAGATAATACCCAAATTTATATTAATATTAAAAGTAAGATAATATGTAAAATATAATTAACTTTATATATTAATTATCAAAACAATTAAAGAATTTATTAACTGAAAATCTGAAATTAAGATTAAAGAAGCACCTGTGATTAAAGAATAATAAGATAGTATCTATTAACTGAAATTGAGATTAAAGAACAAAAAGAAGCACTTGTGATTAATGAATAATATCAATGAACTGAGGTTATCAAAACGATGGACAACCATATACTTAATATTACTAAAATTTAGATAAATGTAGAGTTAACTTTCTATATCAATTATCAAAACAATTACAAGATTTATTGATTGAAGTTAAGATTAAAAAAGCACATGTGATTAAAGAATAATTTCAGTTATCAATTAACTGAAATTATCAAATAACGATTGACAATCATGAATCATATATGTAGTATTGCTAACAAAAAAATTGAAGTCAAATTATAGAAGAAACATGTGTGATGAAGCATTGAAGTATTAAGAAGCCTGAGGAACACTGTCAACAAATAATTGATGGAGAGGAACACTTTTGGCAACCACGACTGACTCATAGTTAAGGAGCAGCGAAGGGAATAAATAACGTACACACAGGACAAGGTAGGCTGTCGCACTAAAAAAATAAAAAGTGGGCCATATCGGCCCACATAATTCTTCAACTGTTAAGGCGCTCGCCTTGAGGCGCAGTGCGCATTGCGTACGCCTCTGCGCAACAACGCGTAAGATTACAGACCTCCGCCTTTAGCAATGCAATAATCCGCCTTTCTCTCTGAATTTACGGTTGCGCGCCTTATTGCGGTATTGCATTGCGCAATTTTAAACGTTGGTTGGAGGGATGCAAATGCAGGCTTTAGTTGGCTTTAATACTCTAAATAAAGTTGGGTTGATGAAGTAATTGTTGGTAGTCTTTTTATGCATTTTTATCCGAATAACAGCCTATTTTTGTTGTTGTTGCAACTTTTTACTTTGGTGGTAACTTATAGCGTCTCCAGAGTTTTCAAGGCTGCCAACTTAGTAATACATGATAGTTCTCTATTTTGGTGCAAGTAAACAGTAGACATATTTACCTTGATTTCTATCCCAATACCGATGAGACAAAGGTCTGTCACATTTTTATAAGCAACGATGACCTGTTTTTGTAGTATTTTTATGAGCTCAACACTTGATTATATTTACGGACACCTCGAGACATATATCACCCCCTCTCTCGCATGCCTACCTCTCATGGATTTGTATGTAATGGTATTCACCTACTACAAAAAAATTGAGGAAAAGCCGACATTATTAGTTGTAATTATGTTTCAATTTAAATTTAACATATAAATCATGAGCTCCCAAAGTCGACCACATTTAGAAGTTCTTAGCAGCATAATTTCAACCAGATGTTCTTCGAAAACCAAACAGAAATGAAAAATCCATGGTAAGTTTACTTGAATAGGTAATTCAAATCGAGAAGCGTACCACAGACTTCATGACTAGGTGAATTGACGGTAGATCGTTCGGTTGAGAAGCCGTTGAAGCTTCGGATGGGTTACTATTTTCTCGTGGGAGAAGAAAGAGACTTGCAAAAGCATTTAACGGGTCAAATTCATATGAAGTTCGATGCTCCGTCGCCATGCGGACATAAACCACTTGCTAGCGGAGACCATGGGAAGCGTGGGTGTGTTGCTACGCCGGAGAAGGTGCTCGCCACTCGGTCGAATATATGTGTGTGTATACTAATTTATTTTAGGCGAGGGAGGATCAGCTAATTCATTTTCTCTTTTTTTCATTTCTTCTTCCCACAATGATTTGCATTGCGCATGTGTGCCTTCCTCAAATGTTTAGGGTTCTAAGAACATCTCCAATGCTAAAATGTGAACGGTGCACATGTGGCATGAAAGATGACCACATAAATATTGGTAAATAAATAATCTCTCCCCTTATTTGAATGATTTTATTCAATTTTGCTAATTTTTTTTAACAATGTCAACTACAATGTCTACATCTAGACGGTCTCCTTGACATTGCAGATAAAAACTTACTGAAATTGCATAAGATCTTTTAAATAAGGAGATAGATAATTTATTTACTAATATTTATGCGGTGACCTCACATGCCACATGTGCAACCGTGCACATTTTAGCATTGTAGATGCTCTAAAAGTTGGGGCCATATTACCTATGTTTAAAAAACCGACCTGGACCGGTCGGGTTGGCCCGGAGCAAAACCCAGTTGGGGTAGTTAAATCCCGGAAGTGGTAAAAGATAAGAAAAACTCGACCGACCTGAAAAAAACCGGTCCAGACCCAGACCTGAAAAAACCCCACAAACCTGGTTTTGGTTGTTGTTTCTATAAAAAAAAGTATTTTTTTAAAATAA